GTGGGTCTCACTACTGTAAGTTCCTTATAGAAGTGGAATTGAAATAGATTAGGGTGTGGCAAAAACTGGCTAGGGAATTTGCAGAACAGTTCCCAAAGTCCTGGACATAAACTTCTCAATAGAACTCCAGCTGGTTCTTTTTTTCTTTTTTTTTTTTAAGACAAGGTCTTCCTATGTAGCCCAGGCTGTCCTTGAACTTGTGTCAATCCTTCTGCCAAAGTCTCCTGAGTGCTGAGATCACAGGTGTGCACCACCACACCTGGCATTCTTTGTTGTGTTGTTTCTTTCTTTCTTTCTTTTTTTTTTTTTTTGGTACCGGGAATCGAACTCATGACCTCAGATTTGCCAGGCAAGCACTTATGCCGATGAGCTATATCCCCGGCCCTCTGTCGTTTTATAACTGGCTTTTTAGTATAATCCCCTCAAGTCCCATTCATGATGTAGTATTGTCAATTTCCTTCCACTTTGGAGTCTGACAGTATGCCATGGTGTGTAATACTAAGGAATTTAATCCACCCCTTTAAATTAAATATGTAGGTTCGCTGCCTCTGGTCCTGAAAAAGAATTTTCAGGAGGTCTCAGTAGGGGCTGGGGATTTAGCTCAGTGGCACAGCACCTGCCTGGCAAGCGTGAGGTCTTGAGGTAGTGAGTTCATTCCCGGTACTGGGAAAAAAACAAACAAAATACAAAACAAAACAAAAACCAAACAAACGAAAAAAAGGAGGCCTCAATAAACGAGGAATGACAAGGATTTATTAGAGCCAGATATAGGACGCACTCAGGAGCGCAGGTGCTCAAAGAAATGAGGCAGGGTACAACTGGGAGCCGGAATCTCATGTGGTTTTGGAGGTGGAAATCTGTGGAATTTGATAATCTACAGTTTTAGTTTTAGACTCAGTCTTAGTCTTAGAGGCTATTCCTATGGCGAATGCCCAAAGGGGTCCATTTAAAGGTGAGAGACGACCATTTGCAAGTGAAAGGGAATGCGCAGATCCATTTGCAGCTGAAAGGGAGCTGCCCAGCTTTGCTGTTTTGGGGAAAGGGAAAAAAGCAATAAAGCAGCCTTGTGTTCGGAAGCTGCAGTTTTTCTTCACTTGATTTTAGCCGAAAGGCTGAGAAGCAATTGCAGTTTTTTCTTTAAAGTACAATTTTTAAAATTTTTAAATTTTGATTTCCTTCTCTCCTTTTTCTTTTCTTTTTTTTTTCTGGTCTTGTTGAGACAGGGTCTCACTATGCAGTTTAGAATGGACTTCAGCTCACCTTGTAGCCCAGGCTGGTCTCAATCTCCCAATGATCCTCCTGCCTCAGCCTCCCCTGAATGCTGGGATTACAGGCATGCACCACCATGCCTAGTTCCTTCTCTCCTTTCTATCTAACTTTATTTCTTCTGTTTTAGCTCAGGTGGACCCAGGATGTATTGGGGGTTTTCTCTTGTTTGTTTTTGCGGATAATGCTGGAGGTCAAACCCAGGGCCTTGAAGATATTAGGCAATGCTCTACCACTGACCTGTATTCCCAGCCTAGAACTGTTAATTTTTAAGTTGTGATAGTAGCATTATACAAGTGTATATCTATGTTTTTTGTTATTCTTTAAGGAAAAGGTTACTAACGTGTTAATATTTCAGTAAAGGCATTTAAAAGGCAGATAGGCACCCAGTTATGGGCTATAAAGTAACAAAGGATTTTTTACACTTAAAATATTATACAGACCTGCAGGACTTACTGAATAACTACCACACCCAGAAAATAATTAAATCTAAGGGATTAAATCCAATAATAGAGCTGGGGATATAGCTCAGTGGCATAAGCACCTGCCTTGTAAGCTCAAGGTCCTGAGTTTGACTTCTGATACAAAAAAAAAAAAATACTAAAAGATTTCTTGACAGGTGTGGAGGATCATCACGAGTTTGAGACCAGCCTGGGCTACAAAGTGAGCTCAAGCCCAACCTGAACTGCATAGCGAGACCCTGTCTCAAGAAGACCCCCCAAAAAGATTTGTTTCTTAAAGCCGGGGAGACCACATACAATATCTCTGAAAGCAAAACATTGAACTGTTTCATTCTCATTTTATTTCTTATTTTAATTTTTATTATTATTTGTTTTTTGAGACAAGGTCTCACGGTGTAGTTCAGGCTGGTTTACAACTCACTATGTGGCCCAGGCTGGTTTTGAAATTGAGGTGACCCTCCTGCCTCAGCCTCCCAAGTGCTAGTGATATAGTACCTCCAAATGATATAGGGGAAATAAATATAAAGCCCAACCTGCTAGATGTCAGATATGCTGAGTTCATGTTCTCCAAAATCAAAGAATGAATTCTAAGGAACAACAGAGGTTAAGAATAGGAAAACTGAAAAAAAAAAAAAAAAAAAAGAAAAGAATAGGAAAACTTTATTGAGAGAGACAGTTCTGGGGAGACAGAAGAGGACTCAAAAGTAGGTTGCCAATGAGCCTACTTCTTAAACGAAGTTTTATAGAGCTAAATCACGGGGTGGGTACAACGTGGATCAAAGATATGCTCAATAAGATTACAAGTATAGCTGCTGGGGCTGGGGATTTAGCTCAGCGGCAAA